CAACAAACTACGTTCCATAATGACAAGACTACCATCCATTGGAGTAACAAAAATATCGACAACAGACTACCTTCCATAATGACAAGGCTACCATCTATTGGAGTAACAAAAATATAGACAACAAACTTCCTTCCATAATGACAAGGCTACCATCCATTGGAGTCACCAAAATCTCGACAAGAGACAACTTCCATAATGAAAGGCTACCATCTATTGGAATAACAAAAATCTCGAGAACAGACTACCTTCCATAATGACTAGGCTACCATCCATTGGAGTAACAAAAATCTCGACAACAAACTACCTTCCATAATGACAAGGCTACCATCCATTACAGTAACAAAAATCTCGACAACAGACTACCTTCCATAATGACATGGCAACCATCCATTGGAGTAATGAAAATATCAACAAGAGACTACCTTCCATAATGACAAGGCTACCATGCATTGGAGTAATGAAAATATCAACAAGAGACTACCTTCCATAATGACAAGGCTACCATCCATTGGAGTAACAAATAGCTCGCCAACAAACTACCTTCCATAATGACAAAGCTACCATCCATTGGAGGAACAAAATCTCGACAACATACTACCTTTCATTATGACATGGCTATTATCCATTGGAGTGACAAAAATCCCGACAACAAACTACCTACCAACATAATGAAAGGCTACCATCTATTGGAATAACAAAAATCTCGAGAACAGACTACCTTCCATAATGACTAGGCTACCATCCATTGGAGTAACAAAAATCTCGACAGCAAACTACCTTCCATAATGACTAGGCTACCATCTATTGGAATAACAAAAATCTCGACAACAGACTACCTTCCATAATGACTAGGCTACCATTCATTGGAGTAACAAAAATTCCGACAACAGACTACCTTCCATAATGACAAGGCTACGATCCATTAGAGTAACAAAAATTTCATCAACAGACTACCTTTCATAATGACAAGGCTACCATCTAAAGGAATAAAAAAAATCTCGATAACAGACTGCCTTCCAAAATAACAAGGCTACCATCCAATGGAATAACATAAATCTCGACAACATACTACCTTCCATAATGAAAAGGCTACCATCAATTGTAGTAACGAAAATCTCGACAAGATACTACCTTCCATAATGAGAAGGCTACCATCCATTGGAGTAAAAAAATCTCGACAACAGACTACCTTCCATAATGAAAAGGCTCCATCCATTGTAGTAACAAAAATCTCGACAATAGACTACCTTCCATAATGACAAGGCTACCATCCAATGGAATAACAAAAATCTCGACAACATACTACCTTCCATAATGACAAGACTACCATCCATTCTAGTGATTAAAATATCAACAAGAGACTACCTTCCATAATGACAAGGCTACCATCCGATGGAATAACAAAAATCTCGACAACATACTACCTTCCATAATGACAAGAATGCCATCCATTGTAGTAAAAAAAATCTCGACAACAGACTACCTTCCATAATGATATGGCTACCATCCATTGGAATAACACAAATATCGACAACAAACTAGGTTCCATAATGACAAGACTACCATCCATTGGAGTAACAAAAATATCGACAACAGACTACCTTCCATAATGACAAGGCTACCATCCATTGGAGTAACAAAAATATAGACAACAGACTTCCTTCCATAATGACAAGGCTACCATCCATTGGAGTCACCAAAATCTCGACAACAGACAACTTCCATAATGACAAGGCTACCATCTATTAGAATAACAAAAATCTCGAGAACAGACTACCTTCCATAATGACAAGGCTATAATCCAATGGAATAACAAAAATCTCGACAACATACTACCTTCCATAATGACAAGGCGACCATCCATTAGAGTGACAAAAATCTCGACAATAGACTACCTTCCATAATGACTAGGCTACCATCCATTGGAGTAACAAAAATCTCGATAACAAACTACCTTCCATAATGACAAGGCTACCATCCATTAGAGTAACAAAAATCTCGACAACAGAGTACCTTCCATAATGACAAGGCAACCATCCATTGGAGTAATGAAAATATCAACAAGAGACTACCTTCCATAATGACAAGGCTTCCATGCATTGGAGTAATGAAAATATCAACAAGAGACTACCTTCCATAATGACAAGGCTACCATCCATTGGAGTAACAAATAGCTCGCCAACAAACTACCTTCCATAATGACAAGGCTACCATCCATTGGAGGAACAAAATCTCGACAACATACTACCTTTCATTATGACATGGCTACTATCCATTGGAGTGACAAAAATCCGGACAACAAACTACCTACCAAAATGATAAGGAAACCATCAATTCGAATCACAAAAATATCGAAAACAAACTACGTTCCATAATGACAGGGCTACCATCCATTGGAGTAACAAAAATATAGACAACAGACTACTTTCCATAATGACAAGGCTACCATCCAATGGAATAACAAAAATCTCGACAATAGACTACCTTCCTTAATGACAAGGCTAACACCAATTGGAGTAACAAAATCTGGACAACAGACTACCTTTCATTATGACATGGCTACTATCCATTGGAGTAACAAAAATCTCGACCACAAACTACCTTCCAAAATGATATGGCTACCATCCATTGGAATAACAAAAATATCGACAACAAACTACGTTCCATAATGACAAGGCTACCATCCATTGGAGTAACAAAAATATAGACAGCAAACTACCTTCCATAATGACAAGGCTACCATCTATTGGAATAACAAAAATCTCGACAACAGACTACCTTCCATAATGACTAAGCTACCATCCATTGGAGTAACAAAAATCTACACAACAAACTACCTTCCATAATGACAAGGCTACCATCCATTGGAGTAACAAAAATCTAGACAGCAAACTACCTTCCATAATGACTAGGCTACCATATATTGGAATAACAAAAATCTCGACAACAGACTACCTTCCATAATGACTCGGCTACCATCCATTGGAGTAACAAAAATCTCGACAACAAACTACCTTCCATAATGACAAGGCTACCATCAATTAGAGTAACAAAAATCTCAACAACAGACTACCTTCCATAATGACAAGGCTACGATCCATTAGAGTAACAAAAATTTCGTCAACAGACTACCTTCCATAATGACAAGGCTACCATCTATAGGAATAAAAAAAATCACGATAACAGACTGCCTTCCAAAATGACAAGGCTACCATCCAATGGAATAACATAAATCTCGACAACATACTACCTTCCATAATGAAAAGGCTACCATCAATTGTAGTAGCAAAAATCTCGACAAGATACTACCTTCCATAATGACAAGGATGCCATCCATTGTAGTAACAAAATATCAAAAACAGACTACCTTCCATAATGAAAATGCTACCATCCATTGGAGTAAAAAAATCTCGACAACAGACTACCTTCCATAATGAAAAGGCTACCATCCATTGTAGTAACAAAAATCTCGACAACAGACTACCTTCCATAATGACAAGGCTACCATCCAATGGAATAACAAAATTCTCGACAACATACTACCTTCCATAATGACAAGACTACCATCCATTGCAGTGACAAAAATATCGACAAGAGACTACATTCCATAATGACAAGGCTACCATCCGATGGAATAACAAAAATCTCGACAACATACACTACAACATTTGTTGTCTTTGGCAACACTTTTTTAGGTAACATGTAGAAATTGTTGCCTTAAATTCATATAGGCAACGATTTACGATTGTTGTCAAAAATATGTTTGCAACCCTTGATAATCGTTGCCTAAAATACTTTTGGGGACGTTTATGGAGCGATACTCTTTTATTTTTTTGCCAACGGTTGTTAATTGTGCCCTTAACTGCTTTTGGGGACGATTTTAGAGCGTTAAAATATTATTTCTTTAGCAACGTTTGACAATTGTCCTCTAAAATATTTTTGGGGACATTTTTAGATTGTTACATTAGTTCTAATAAAAGGCCACATTTCTGAAATGTTGTATAATTTTTTTTAGAATTATCAAATTTTTGATGGCAATCTTCCCTCCAAAACTTATACACTAAAAAACAAATATTTTTCTCTAAACATTATTAATATATATAAAAAAAAATTATTTTTCTAACACAAGAATTTAAAAATAAAAAATTTCAATTAAACAGAAAATAATAAATTATATATATATATATATATATATATATATATATATATATATATATATATATATATATATATATATATATATATATATATATATATATATATATATATATATATATATATATATATATATATATATATATATATAATATATATATATATATATATATATATATATATATATATATATATATATATATATATATATATATATATATATATATATATATATATATATATATATATATATATATATATATATATATATATATATATATATATATATATATATATATATATATATATATATATATATATATATATATATATATATATATATATATATATATATATATATATATATATATATATATATATATATATATATATATATATATATATATATATATATATATTAGTCTAATACTTATATATATTTCAATTAAACAGGAATTTTTCTAACACATTATTAATATTTCTCTAAAATTTATATATATATTAAAAAAAAATTTCATTAAACAGAAAATAAAAAATTTTCTAACACAAAAATTTAAAATATTTTTCATTACTAGTCCTCTCAATTATTGCCACGTCTTATTAAAAAGGGTACGCAGATAGCAATTGGGCCTGGCCCAAACATATTACCAGCAGGAAGAAAAAAAAAAGAGTAAATGAACAAGATGAGTGGGGCGGGTTTGTGGTGATTTAAAGCCTAGAACGAAAATTGAATAACAAAAAATCTAAAAGCCACACCGTCCATTATTCCCTTCCACATTTTTTCTTCGTGTTCTCTCCCTCATCTTCTGTCTCTCTTACCTCACATCTAAAACAACAACAACATAATGAACCCTAGATCAAAACCCGATTCGGCGACGGTGTTGTCCTCCTATCTAGATTCTGGTGGCCTTGGGTGTGGCTATGTGATGAATAGATGGGGCTTCGCGGTGGGTTCGGTATCAATGGCACTTGGAGATGGTGTCGCGGATGAGAGATCGAGTCCCAGAGGTCTGGGTTTTGTGTCGTGGTTGAGTTGTCGGTGATGTCGTGCGATCTTGGGTTTGCGCAATCTGCCGAAGGCGATGATGACCGTTGCGTCTTTGCAAAAGCTGGTGGAGTGGAGGGTTGTTGCGGGAGACACAGTTCCGGGGGATGCAGGAAGTGCGGCGGAAAAGGTAAACTTATGTAACAATTCTTTACTGCATTTGTTTTTAGCTATTCTCACTATCTCCCATCCCTTTCTTAACTGTCTGTCTCTCGCTTTATAGCCTTAGAGAAATAGTTTTTTTAGGAAACATCTTAATGTGTTTGTAAATTGATTGTAGTTTTAAAGGTAATTGATTCTGTAGAGAGGTGTTCATAAAAAGGGAAGGACAAAAGAGAGCTTAGAAAGGGAAGGGACAAAAGAGAGCTTAGAAAGTGACAAGGAATTTACTTCGATCAAAAGGTATTGTCATTTATCATTTATCAGATATACTATACTATATTATAAAATATATAACAAAGTGTTTAATTAAATTATTAAATTTGAGAAAAAGGGTATGTATGTAATGTAATGTTTGTATTGTATGAAATGATATGATATATTGAAAGGAAAGAAAAAAGTAGATGTTACTGAATGAATGAAGGAATGAATGGTAATAGAAGAATGATGCTAGTGTGATTTGGGAGTTCAATAGGTTCTTCTTTTGATGGAGAAAATCAGACATGGCCCCTACATGAATATATTATTTTTCTATAGCTACTAAGATATTGTTGTACTAGAATTTAAAAAGTGAAGGGTAAAAATGTATTTCTGACTATGAACTTAGTATATGAATCTCATATGGGTCTCAATATTAGGGTTTTTTCCAAATATTCTAAAGTTGTATCAGAAAGTAGAGCTTTTAGAATTGTACTTTTGAAGCAGTGGTGGAATTGATGATATATGCTTGAGTTTGATGAGCAAAGAAGACTACATATTGTGGTTTTGTATGGTACAATTTCTAAATATGTGACATTTTTGAATTATATACAGTTTCTTGAGTTTTGAGAGAATAGGTTTTTCTCTAAATATATAATTCATAATTATATCTGCAAGAACTTGATTATGATCAGTACTGGGAAATGGCCAAAAATAGAAAATATAAAATGCAAACTAAGCCTCTTTTAGTTATACGTTCCTTTCAATATTATTGTTTATTATCAAAATTCATTTTGTTATAATTATTTGATCTTTCTTTCTCTCTGTCATGATTCTCTTTAATGTCACAGTTTTCTACATGTTGGTATAAAGTGGCTGAACTTTATGTGAAGAAAAGAAGATATACTAGAGTTGCGTTGCATTTCGTATCGTTGTGTTTGAGTTGAATCTAAGTGTTTTGTAAGTTTCATATTCTAGTATCTTCATTACAGTTCTTTAAATTCTGTTATCACCGTAGTGTCTAAATTGAATCTTACTTTGTTCAGATGCCTAGCACACAAAAGTCAATTCCCTTTCTTAAATGTTGTTTGTGAATACTGTCTGTCATTTGAAGTTGAGAGGAAGCTAGAAGCTTTGTATGATAAACTAGAGTAGAAGTTTGCAATGGTTTCTGTAGTCGGATTTTCCTAGTTCTCATATGTGAACATGTCCTATTAAAAGTTTCAAAACAGGAATTCATGGTTTAACAAACTTTATAGCTCATCTATTAAGTTTCCAATTGATTTAACAACTGGTTCCTCATCCACCGTTCTTTGAAGTTTTAACAATTTTAACAACCTGATTACTTGAGCGTTGTTCATTAGTCTATAAATTAGAAATCTTGTGACCATTATTCCCATTTCCCTACACATACTCGTCAAGTTTATTATTGTCAAATCTTTAAATAATGCCTCTGTATGAGTCTGCACACATGGGCCAAATACAACATTGGGATCTTGGTTGGTTCCTATTGAGCTTTCTGAAGCATTGCACTGGAGTTTGTTTGCTATCTAGCATGTTTGAGACTGTAAACCAATGAGTAACTGTGTGATTGATCTTTGACTGATAGCTATTCACTTAATGTATTTTTTGTTCTTAACAGGGAATCTGTTTGATGATAACAGTCTTGCAGCTGGCTCAATTACCCAATATTAAGGTAGCTAAATGGAATCCTTATATCTACAGATAATTAACCATTCTTCCTTTTCTTAATTTTTTATGTTTGTCATCAATTACAATTATTTTCATTTTCTTATTCATCTAATTTAATAGGTTGCGACTGTACTCCTCTCTTCTGCTTTTGCCTACGACATCTTTTGGGTGTTCATATCTCCGTTGATATTCCATGAAAGTGTCATGATTGCAGTAAGTATTCACCTGTACAAGTAATACTTTAGCTCTTCACTTTTATATTTTTAGTGCAGTTTGCATCTTCAAAGGAAATTTTGGTAGAAAATGAGGAGAAATTAGAAAATGTAGTGAGAGGACAAAGTATCCTTTTAGCATAGTGTTTCGTGCTATGTCCACCAAGTGTTCGGTAAAATTTCTGAACGAATATTTTTCTTATTGGGCATCCTAGAATCCAAGAGTTGCTCTTCAACCGCCGAGAATGGTGAGAATTTCTTACACCTTTCCCTCTTTTTCATTTTTCATTTTCGGTTTTTTAACTTCTCTTGTAGCATCTCTGAGGATGGGATTCCATCCAAATTTCCTCTCTCATTTCACACTAGATCAGAGCTTCACTTTGCACTTCAATTGTTCCATAAAGCGGTTTGTGTTTATGTATTCATATCGATGAAAGTTTGTAAATCTATTTACACTGTACATGCAATTCTGCATTTGGAAGATAATTCTGGATTTGCACTCATACCTCAAGTCATACACTTGTAATTAATCTATGAGTTTTTGTTAATGTTCGCTTCATAATCTTCGCCCAAGTATTTTTCTGAATCTGGTTTGCTTGCTTATATCATACTGGGGCTATGGATGTGTCAGAGTCAGGACGTGAATATGGGGCTAAAAACACTGACGACACCCCTGTGACGGGCACTTCTCAGAAAACTCGAGGGGGTAAGTTATTCACATTTAACTGGTTATCTCGTTTGTGCAATCTGTTGTGCTATTCTTGTAAATGTATGTTTTGATAGTTGATGATTTATTGAACTCTTGTGTCTCGATACATTATTACTAGCCAAGCTATAAATTGTTGCTTTAGGAAGGATGTGTGTCAAGTTTAACATCACTGTGAAAACTCTATTAAATTACATAGTCTCTTGTGTTAATGATAGTCATGCAAGTTTGATATTTAAGTGTACTAATGCTTACTCTCTAGAGCTTATATATCATTTAATGATTTCATGATTTGATTATGATGAACGGACACTTTTTGGCAGATGAAAACTAGACTTTTATTATGTTACCCTATTTATTTCACATACTATACAACCATCAGTGAATGTTAATAGATTTTAAACGGTGAATCCATGCATTTAGTTCCTTATAGGCATTTGTTTCACGTGTAGAAGTGTAAGAGAGCATCGTGTATTAACCTAAGTTTCATTGTTTTGGTTATGTATCATTTAGTTTTATTCTTATTATGATGGGGTTCCATAAATGATTCCTCATTGTCATATAATGCGCTGAATGTTTGGGATTAGTTGGGCATCTTTTCATATGATGCAATTTGCAAATACAATTTTGTGATTTCATGATGTTGGTTGGATACAAGTCACTCATTGGGCAATTTTTTCCCCTTCGTAACAGGTGCTGAATCTCGATTTCGGAAAAGAAGCAAATATTTATCTTACCCCTACACAAATAGTGAACCAAGACTTAAAAGTTTTCCAGCTGAAACAGAAGAATCAAAGACTCCAAGTTCCACCCCTAAAGCAAAAGCTTCAAGCAGAACCAGTAATCCTAAAAATAGATCTCTTTCATCAACTAAATTGGGTGGCACGAGGTTCCAAAATAACTGGTACAGAAAATTCATCAGCTGTAGTAAAATGTCTAGCAGTCCAAAATTCATCGGTGCATCTTCCAGTGACGTACTTTCAGGAGGTTTAATTCTTGTTGATTCTTGTTGATGTCTTAATTGTCCTTTGGACCAAAAATACTTATGGTTAATGTGTTTTATTTTATTTTCTTATGCAGCAATGTATCAATGAAGATGTTGAAAAGGACGATATAAATGATGAAATTCAAGAGGACGACATAAATGATAAAATTCAAGAGGACGACTTAAATGATAAAATTCAAGAGGACGACGTAGATGACGAATTTCAAGAGGACGACATAGATCTAGATGATGAATTTCAAGAGGAAGATATAGATGGTGAATTTCAAGAGGACGACGTAGATGAAGAATTTATGGAGGATGACATATCTAACGAATTTCAAGACGACGATCTGGATGCTTTACTCCTAGAAGACAAACTTGAATGAGTTGGATGATGTCTTTTTTTTGGCTTGTAGTTGAAAGCATTAAACTTGAAATATGATTTTTGTTCTTTTGCTTAACTATGTTTTTAGTTATTTTACTAGGGTCATACTTCAAAGTATTAAAAATAATATTGTTACGTTAGGCATTTTGTGTACTCTATATACTATATCTTGAATTAAAGTTTGAACTCGATTTTATTATATTACAATTTTTATGGATGTATGGTTTAAGTTATATAATCAATATTATTTTTGAAGCCAATTATTATTGACTATATTATTTTGATAATAATTGCAAAATTGTATATTTTATGTGGACAATATAAAACAACAACCTATAAGCTATGGCTACACTTCAAAAACGATCTTCCTGATTCAGGTTTAAGGCAACGATTGTTAATTGTAGTCGAATTTGGTAACGCAACGCTTAAAAAACATTGTCTCAGAGGCCGTAAATAATCGTCCCCTATTCCTTTACTATAGGAAACGTTTTTCAAAAGCGTTCCCAAAAAACATAAAAAAACGTCGCCTCAAACAATAGGCAACGCTCGCACAGGAGATGCCTAGAAAACGTCCCCTATTGTTTTAGGCAACGATTTTCAGAGTTCTGGCAACGTTTTTTAATTGTTGCTGGAGAGCCTAAATGTTGTAGTGATACTACCTTCCATAATGACAAGGATGCCATCCATTGTAGTAAAAAAAATCTCGACAACAGACAACCTTCCATAATGATATGGCTACCATCCATTGGAATAACAAAAATATCGTCAAAAAACTACGTTCCATAATGACAAGACTACCATCCATTGGAGTAACAAAAATATCGACAACAGACTACCTTCCATAATGACAAGGCTACCATCCATTGGAGTAACAAAAATATAGACAACAAACTTCTTCCATAATGACAAGGCTACCATCCATTGGAGTCACCAAAATCTCGACAACAGACAACTTCCATAATGACAAGGCTACCATCCAATGGAATAACAAAAATCTCGACAACATACTACCTTCCATAATCACAAGGCTACCATAAATTGTAGTAACCAAAATCTCGACAACATTCTACCTTCCATAATGACAAGGATGCCATCCATTGTAGTAACAAAAATCTCGACAACAGACTACCTTCCATAATGAAAATGCTACCATCCATTGGAATAACAAAAATCTCGACAACAAACTACCTTCGATAATGACAAGGCTACTATCTATTAGAGTGACAAAAATCTCGGCAATAGACTACCTTCCCTAATGACAAGGCTAACATCAATTGGAGTAACAAAATCTGGACAACAAACTACCTTTCATTATGAAATGGCTACTATCCATTGGAGTAACAAAAATCTCGACAACAAACTACCTTCCAAAATGATATGGCTACCATCCATTGGAATAACAAAAATATCGACAACAAACTACGTTCCATAATGACAAGGCTACCATCCATTGGAGTAACAAAAATATCGACAACAGACTACCTTTCATAATGACAAGGTACCCACCATTGGAGTAACAAAAATCTAGACAGCAAACTACGTTCCATAATGACAAGGCTACCATCTATTGGAATAACAAAAATCTCGACAACAGACTACCTTCCATAATGACTAGGCTACCATCCATTGGAGTAACAAAAATATCGACAACAAACTACCTTCCATAATGACAAGGCTACCATCAATTAGAGTAACAAAAATCTTGATAACAGACTACCTTCCATAATGACAAGGCTACGATCCATTAGAGTAACAAAAATTTCGTCAACAGACTACCTTCCATAATGACAAGGCTACCATCTATAGGAATAAAAAAAATCACGATAACAGACTGCCTTCCAAAATGACAAGGCTACCATCCAATGGAATAACATAAATCTCGACAACATACTACCTTCCATAATGAAAAGGCTACCATCAATTGTAGTAACGAAAATCTCGACAAGATACTACCTTCCATAATGACAAGGATGCCATCCATTGTAGTAACAAAAATATCAAAAACAGACTACCTTCCATAATGAAAATGCTACCATCCATTGGAGTAAAAAAATCTCGACAACAGAGTACCTTCCATAATGAAAAGGCTACCATCCATTGTAGTAAAAAAAATCTCGACAACAGACTACCTTCCATAATGACAAGGCTACCATCCAATGGAATAACAAAAATCTCGACAACATACTACCTTCCATAATGACAAGACTACCATCCATTGCAGTGACAAAAATATCGACAAGAGACTACATTCCATGATGACAAGGCTACCATCCGATTGAATAAAAAAAATCTCGACAACATACTACCTTCCATAATGACAAGGATGCCATCCATTGTAGTAAAAAACATCTCGACAACAGACTACCTTCCATAATGATATGGCTACCATCCATTGGAATAACAAAAATATCGACAACAAACTAAGTCCCATAATGACAAGACTACCATCCATTGGAGTAACAAAAATATCGACAACAGACTACCTTCCATAATGACAAGGCTACCATCCATTGGAGTAACAAAAACACAGACAACAAACTTCCTTCCATAATGACAAGGCTACCATCCATTGGAGTCACCAAAATCTCGACAACAGACAACTTCCATAATGACAAGGCTACCATCTATTGGAATAACAAAAATCTCGAAAACATACTACCTTCCATAATGACAAGGCTATAATCCAATGGAATAACAAAAATCTCGACAACATACTACCTTCCATAATGACAAGGCGACCATCCATTAGAGTTACAAAAATCTCGACAATAGACTACCTTCCATAATGACAAGGCTACCATCCATTAGAGTAACAAAAATCTTGACAACAGACTACCTTCCATAATGACAAGGCAACCATCCATTGGAGTAATGAAAATATCAACAAGAGACTACCTTACATGATGACAAGGCTACCATGCATTGGAGTAATGAAAATATCCACAAGAGACTACCTTCCATAATGACAAGGCTACCATCCATTGGAGTAACAAATAGCTCGCCGACAAACTACCTTCCATAATGACAAGGCTACCATCCATTGGAGGAACAAAATCTCGATAACATACTACCTTTCATTATGACATGGCTACTATCCATTGGAGTGACAAAAATCCCGACAACAAACTACCTACCAAAATGATAAGGAAACCATCCATTCGAATCACAAAAATATCGACAACAAACTACGTTCCATAATGACAGGGCTACCATCCATTGGAGTAACAAAAATATAGACAACAGACTACTTTCCATAATTACAAGGCTACCATCCAATGGAATAACAAAAATCTCGACAACATACTACCTTCCATAATCACAAGGCTACCATAAATTGTAGTAACCAAAATCTCGACAACATACTACCTTCCATAATGACAAGGATGCCATCCATTGTAGTAACAAAAATCTCGACAACAGACTACCTTCCATAATGAAAATGCTACCATCCATTGGAATATCAAAAATCTCGACAACAAACTACCTTCGATAATGACAAGGCTACTATCTATTAGAGTGACAAAAATCTCGATAATAGACTACCTTCCCTAATGACAAGGCTAACATCAATTGGAGTAACAAAATATGGACAACAGACTACCTTTCATTATGACATGGCTACTATCCATTGGAGTAACAAAAATCTCGACAACAAACTACCTTCCAAAATGATATGGCTACCATCCATTGGAATAAAAAAAATATCGACAACAAATTACGTTCCATAATGACAAGGCTACCATCCATTGGAGTAACAAAAATATCGACAACAGACTACCTTTCATTATGACATGGCTACCATCCATTGGAGTAACAAAAATCTAGACACCAAACTACCTTCCATAATGACAAGGCTACCATCTATTGGAATAACAAAAATCTCAAAAACAGACTACCTTCCATAATGACTAGGCTACCATCCATTGGAGTAACAAAAATCTCGAGAACAAACTACCTTCCATAATGACAAGGCTACCATCAATTAGAGTAACAAAAATCTCGACAACAGACTACCTTCCATAATGACAAGGCAACCATCCATTGGAGTAATGAAAATATAAACAAGAGACTACCTTCCATAATGACAAGTCTACCATGCATTGGAGTAATGAAAATATCAACAAGAGACTACCTTCAATAATGACAAGGCTACCATCCATTGGAGTAACAAATAGCTCGCCAACAGACTACCTTCCATAATGACAAGGATGCCATCCATTGTAGTAACAAAAATCTCGACAACAAACTACCTTCCATAATGAAAATGCTACCATCCATTGGAATAATAAAAATATCGACAAGAAACTACGTTCCATAATGACAAGACTACCATCCATTGGAGTAACAAAAATATCGACAACAGACTACCTTCCATAATTACAATGCTACCATCGATTGGAGTAACAAAAATCTCGACAACAGACTACCTTCCATAATGACAAGGCTACCATCCATTGTAGTAACAAAAATCTCGATAACGGACTACCTTCCATAATGACAAGGCTACCTTCCATTGGAGTAACCAAAATCTCGATAACAGACTACCTTCCATAATGACAAGGCTACTATCTATTGTAGTAAAAAAAATCTCGACAACAGACTAGCTTCCATAATGACAAGGCTACCATCTAATGGAATAACAAAAATCTCGACAACATACTACCTTCCATAATGACAAGACTACCATCCATTGCAGTGACAAAAATATCGACAAGAGACTACCTTCCATAATGACAAGGATGCCATCCATTGTAGTAACAAAAATCTCGACAACAAACTACGTTCCATAATGAAAATGCCACCATCCATTGGAATAACAAAATTCTCGACAACAAACTACCTTCGATAATGACAAGGCTACTATCTATTAGAGTGACAAAAATCTCGACAATAGACTACATTCCATAATAATAAGGCTAACATCAATTGGAGTAACAAAATCTCGACAACAGACTACCTTTCATTATGACATGGCTACTATCCATTGGAGTAACAAAAATC